AATCGCGAAAAATGAAAAAAAATATTAAATTTTTTTTCTTCGATTTACAAATACTACTCAATTTTCTGTATCACCTGGTGAAATCAGAATGAAAAAAATCGCATTCCTTATGATCCAAATCACGATCTGGACTTTTTTCACTGTTTGAGTGCTCTATACCCAGTCTCCGAGAGTTTCATATAAACTTGCTATGTGATGCTCATTGAATAGTAAGCGAATACCAATCGTGATTGAATCAATAGGCGTCATTTGGCTATTGCAAGGCGAGTTTATATGAAATTCTCGGAGACTCGGTAGAGAGCAAAAAAGTGAAAAAAAAATGTCAATATCATGTGGTGTGATCAGAACGTAAAAATTTGTCATCTTTGTCACCCAAATCGTTGTCCAATGCTATCTCGCATGTACATTGCATGTACAAATGTTTACATCGGACATTCTATTCACACACAACTCGCACTTATATTTTGCTGCGCAATAAAAATCGTCGACACAAAACTCAAAGCGATTACCAAATACACTTTCAACAATTTTTTTGCGTTTTTTTTTCATTTTTCGCGATTTTTTCACCATTTACATGGGAGGCTTGTATGAAAAACACGGAAGACCGCTGAAATGGCACTGTTGTAGGTCCGTATATATTTGGCGTTTGCCATTTCAGCGGTCTTCCGTGTTTTTCATACAAGCCTCCCATGTAGATGGTGAAAAATCGTGAAAAATGAAAAAAATTCTTAAATTTTTTGGCTCAATGACATAACTCCCCGGGCGGGAAGACGGGCGGGCAGACGGGCGAATATTTTTTTTTTATATTGCGTGCGGTCAACGGGCGGTCAACGGGCTATCAACGAGCGGTCAACGGGCGGACCACGGATATTAGTTGGACCACAATGTATATACAATATCAATCTAGTATATAATCAAATTTACATTGACATATTTATCATTTTGTACGTATATATCAAAAAACGGACTTAAACACATTCTACACCTCAAACACAAATGATTCTTTCCCAGACAATTGTTTTATATTCTTAAGAAAAAACTTATTCTTTTATTGTTATTAATATTGATTTTGCCTAGGATTTTGCGGACATGCGGAAAATTTGAACAATATTCAAAGAGGAAAAAACAGATTTTGTGTATATATTCTTCAAAAGTTATCTATTTAGTTTTTTGTATTCAGAACACTTTTCTTAAATTTACGGGCGGATAAAAAAAGTTTAATGCGTGCAGACATAAGCTATTTTCAAAATATATGTTTAATTAGTAGTGTATTCACACAAAAAAATATGCGATCAAATCAAATGAAGATGCGGTTATTAAGTAGTGTGTATTTGAAATAATAAATATTATTTGATAAATAAAAAATAATTTTATAATTATGAATTAACACTCCTACACGATAAATTGTTTGATTTTTTGCGGAGACTATGAATGTGGTAAATTTCTGTCAAATCTAGAACACAAAATTATAAAAATGATGAAAATTTCACCACATTGAGCTTAAAGAACTTTGTAAACCAATTGATCCGCTGTCAAACTCAAATGCGTATTTTAACGGATCAAAAAGAACCCGACCGATTGACGTTTAAAATACCTTTCCTACACTAGGTGCGCGGAAAAGTATAAAGTGTTGAAAAATGAAAGAAAAGAAGTTTTGTCAACTGTATGGTTTATATTGGACAAAAGCAGTGTTGCCAACGAACAGTCGATTGGTCGGGAATTTATTAAAGCGATAATACAAGGTTCTTTGACCGCAAACTACTTAATAACCGCATTTTCATTTGATTAGGCCGTATATTTTTTTGTCTGTTACTGTTTACTGGTAGACGGGCCGACAGACGGGCGGACGGTTTTTTTATTGCTTGGCTTTGACTGTTAACTTTGTTCAATGGCTTTGACTTTTTGAATGCAGCTGGAGGAAGTACACTCTTATCAGCCATTGCTTCCAAAAAACCAGCAACAGAGATTTGGCCCGTTCTCAATGATAGCGATATTTTTTAAATTTTTTCATCGCGGACTTTATCTTCGGTTCTACGACGTTCCAATTGTTTATTTGTTATTTCACTTCTTGAAAGTTGATATAAATCGCTAGATTTGATCGATTCATGCAATCTCAGCTGTTCGATGAATGAGTATATATTTTGATTGGATGAAAACGAATTTTGAATGACTGAATTCATTCCTTCTAATGACGATGTTGTTCGCATGTTCAAATCAGCCACCGATATAGTATTTCTTTCATTCTGTTAAACGAATAATCAACATATTCAAACAAATTAACAATTTTTAGTTGAAACGAGTATATTAGAGATATTCTCTCAATCTAACCTGCTTTAACCAGTATCCTTCAAAGTAAACAAAAAGGGCGTTAAATCTTTTGAACAATTTTTTTTTCCTTGCAAATGCTTTTACGCTATTGTAGCCTTCTTTTATTTTATCAGCTGGCAATAGTGGAAGGCTCATAAGCGAATTTTGGATAATTCTTGCATTGGCATTCGATTTAATTAATTTGAATAAGCCGATATTGCCACATCTTCGTCTTACAGCACGGCACATATGGAACCAACAACCTCGGATAGTCACCTTTGGCCATTTTTTCTTGATAGCCAATCTCATTCCATCCTCATAATCAGTCATGATTTCAGCAGGCTCAAGCTCAAACAGTCTCTCCTCGATGAAATCAAAAACAGCGGAATAGCATTCTGTAGTTTTTCTGGACATTGGGCAATATGCGATTGGAAATATCTATGATGTGATTGTCAAACGTAAATAGAAAATTGTTATAAGTTTATCATTTCTAGTTTTTATTTTCTGAATACGTACGGACGGACAAATTGAGTACTACTATATCGTACCAAAATCATGTCTTAACTGGCAAATAACCGGCGTAACGAGACATTCAGTGTAATCTATACTCAGTTGGAAGCTGCCAACAATTTGTGAGAACACCTTTGCTCGATTTCAAACAGCTGACTAGAACTCCATATCTATTGAATATATCGAGAAGAGAGTATGTTATTTGGCGCTTATAGCTGAGTAATGTCTGAATAAAAACATACTCTCCTCTCGATATTTTCAATAGACTTAGTCGCATATATTGGCGCTAGCTGCGCTACAATTTTGCATTTTATACAGTCTCTTACTAATTAATAATTACGGCGTACTATACTAATTTTGTTCGAAAATATAAAATAGATACGGACGGACGAGCGGACGGACGGTCGCACATACAAATTAAAACTTTTCTTACTCACGTCATTTTGATATTCGATAGTTATTATGAGCAGCTGATAAAAATCTTTTGGCAAAGAATCAAAAGTTGCATCCATCAAGTAGTAACGTGCGCTTGGCTCAATATTCTTTTGAATGAATTCGATTATATATTTCGATGCAAAAACACTAAATCCAAAATCTTCTAAAACTACGGTATCAATATAAAATAACGCATCGCCATCGATATTGTACCCATATTTTTCCAACACGTTTCTGTCCAAAAACTTGTCATGAAGATCCTGGATCGAATTTGGAACTTTTGGACGAGCTTTAGTTTTGTGGCGTTGTAGTGTTCGCTTCATTTTATTATATACCAAATTGGTGTTGCGAAAACCATCCCTTCAAATTGAATTAAGATAATTTTATTTTTTGAGGTACCACATAAAATTACAAATGTTATGTTGTTTTTACTTGGAAATTTCACGTTGAAAAATATGACGTGTTGGAATCCTATGAGCATCTTCAGGAAAATTTTCTTTTATATATTCGCATGTCGTTTTCATATTTGTCCTTTTTTCGATGTCTCGACGAACTGTTCCATGATTTTGATGACAAGTGTGACCTACACTCATTCTTTCACATTTTCCATCTGCGGTAATTCGAACACGAGCGGTACATTTTTGAGGACTGACATCAGTGTCTCGCTTTTTGGGTGCAGTTAAAATAGTTTGGTAGCAAACGTATTCTTTATTTCCGTTCCTTTTATTTTTCAAAACATACAACATATCTTCGGTTGGAATATGTAACAGATGAGAGCCGTCTCGGACACCCTGTATTATGCGATATTCCATTTTGATGCAAGCTTTGGCGTTTTTGTAATGCGTAAACCTGATTTGAAATTGGAATCAACTATTAATCTTCATAAACGGGTATAAATCGTTTAATCATTTATTCATTCATTTTGAAAACACCTTAATGGCCGGGCAGACGGGCGGGCATTTTTCTTCACTAACTTTGCATTGTGCTCTAATTTGGAACTTATTTTTATTCGAAACAAATTGATAATAATGGGCCAAAAATAGAAGTGATTCCAATGGATTCCAATATCGAACTGACATGCTTCCATTCAAAATACAAAATTCATGTTTTGGGCCATTTTTAATCATTTCAGCTACTTTTTGTATGGAAAGTATACCAAAACTTAATTTTATCGCAAAATAAATATCGGATTCGAGTTTCTCGTGCCAAAAAAACACTAATACAGATTTTGAACTATTTGAATAAAGTTTTGAAAGTTGAAAAAAGACGAAACCAAATTAGTTGAAAAGTCGAACTCGCTATATATACACGAAATATACGAAATCCAAACCTAGAAGGCCTTTGGGCCCGGTTGATGTATGGTTGGAAAGTCCCTGGGCCATAGAACAAGAAAAAAATATCAAAGTTTGAAAATCGGCTCACCTGTCAAAATATGGTCCTTTCAAGAAAAGAGTTGAAATTCGGTTCTACAGCCATAAATGGCACTAAATGAGGTAGTTGACGCCTGAAACATCAATATTCTGACTCTAGAGATCAACACCTTTCAACGATACCTCAAACGTCGAAATCGATCAATCCGTTCGGAAAAATTCCGCATTTTAAAAATTTCATATGATTTTCCTATAAAAGTCATTTGGTATGTGTGTGCGCAATTTTGCGTACTCGATTCTGATCTTTTTGAAACTTTCTGTGAGTAAAGAAGACAAAAAACTAAGACTCTTTTGTTCCGGCACTTTTCTATTTGGCCGCCACTTTTTGACTTTTGTCCTCACGGTCACCGAGGCACATCCACTTCACACTCCTGACATATGCACATCGTTCGAAAGGTTTTGAAGTGAGCTATCGAATGGTGCCAATTGCGGTCAACAAATTTCAAATTGGGGCCAAAAACCAAAAAGTTACCGTTCGGCCGGACACAAAAAGGCGATTTTATCGAAACAGAGTTCAACGATTTTTTTTTGAAAATTTCACCGATTTTAGGCCCAAGTCAAAGATAAAAAAATATGCATACCACACACCACTGAAAAAAAACCACTGTTCGCCTTTATGAACCATAATTTAAATCATTTTGATCCAAAAAATAACCTAAAATCCATATTTTCATTATATTTGAAAATTATTCAAATTCATGTGTCTTGAATCTTTAACTTGGAAAATAGCGCTTACAAAACTATTGATACCAAATAAAAAACCTCTATCGAGGTGAAGAACCAATGACGAAACCAAAATTTGAAACACAAAATTTCTGATATCAATTTTGTGACAAAAATAGTTGGTAGATATTTTTTCTGTGTACTGTGAATAAAAACATTTTTATATTCGGAACGTTGCTTCATTGCGTTAGTATGAACTCAAAGTAAAAAGGGAGGAATTTCTGCAACGTTTTGAATATACAAATGTATATTAAGTTTTTATTCGCAGCTGGCTGAAAATATCCCAAAATAATGTCTGAAAATGGTCAGTTCCCAGACAGTTGGATAAAAAATTCCAAATTCGAGAACAGTGTTATCATTGCTGAATTTTAGAAACTAAATGGCCATTGGCCAAGTGATCTAAACACGGACGATTGAACGTACGGACGTGCGGGCGTGCGGACTTACGTGCAAGATGTTATAGAAAATATTAACGACAATTCGAACAGAAAGATTCAAACACAGAGAAAGAGGGATTATGTACTATATATGCAATACATGTAAAAGAAGCTGTTGTTGATTTGACCAAACTATATTTTTAAAAATGGAAAAGTCAGAAATATTGCTTAATCTAAATCGATGCCTGACGAAAACATAATTTAATTTCGTTCATATCAAACTAAATCGATGTGTGAGAATAAAAACTCAACTTCATATCTCACCTCCTGCTCACACTTATGGAAAATCCTTCAGGAAAGAGCAAGAGGTGAAATGCGTAGTTGAGTTTTTATTCTGACACATTCATATTTTTCTCCGTTGAATATACATAAGAAAACCAAAAATTGCAATATACTACTTACTAAGTCAATTTGAAAGGTGCAGATCACAATTAGATTGAAATATACAAGAAAAATCGTACCGAAACACTTAATTTTTCTGAATGTTTGTATTTGGAGTTTAACATGTAATTTAGAATAATTATTATTATCTTTTTATTGAAAAACAACAAATATTACACTATTAAGAATTGTAAAATTCTCTGATTGTTTTCGAAATGCGCATCTGAGGATTTTACAATTCTTAATAGTGTAATATTTGTTGTTTTTCAATAAAAAGATAAGAATAATTAATTTTTCTATTCTATAACTCTCTAACTATGAGTCTATGACACTATATGTTGCTTAATCCCTGTGCGATTATCTACTAATCATAATAGTCATAAGAGTTCGCATATTTATGACATCAAAAAAATTAATATGTCACATTTGCATCTCTTTCTCGTGAAAATGTACATATTCCTTACTCAGAATAAATGTTCTTGTGCGCTGTTTGAATCAGTTTGTGTCGTGCAGTTTATAAATGTATGTTCATGATTGAAAAGGGCGAATTCAAATATCATAGTGTTTTGGTTTTAGTGCGTGTTTATGGCATCAGGTGCATATTGAACAATATACAGAATGTTTACAGCGTCCTTTCATACATCAACACATAAACGCTTTGAATACCGGCGACGACACCAGCATCCGGCGATCAATGTTCCTCTGTGATCATGTATTGCTGTATCGCATGTTGCTGTACTGTGTATGCACTAACACCAAAACATTACATTGATTGCGCGGATAATGTATTGTTGTCAACGGCATTCAAGTCGCTTATATCGTTGATGTCGTCGCCGGTATTCAAAGCGTTTATGTGTTGATGTATGAAATGGCGCTGTAAATATATTGTTTAATATGCACCTGATGCCACAACCACGCACTAACACCAAAACACTACGATATTTGAATTCACTCTTTTCAATCATACAAACACAAACTGCATGACACACACTGATTCACACAATAAAAAAAAACAGTTATTTTAAGTAAGGAATATGTACATTTTCACGAGAAAGAGATAGAAATGTGAAACATTAATTTTTTCGATGTCATAAATAAGCGAATGCTTATTATAACTATTATGATTAGTAAATAACCAATACAACATCATCGAGAATCATATAAAACAGCAACAGAGACACGCATTGAATATCGGCACATTTAATGCCGTTTGACACCAACATGGCGGTCAGCAACATTGTGCTTATGTGTTGATGTATTGAAACAATTGTGCTTCTACACTGAACATAAATCTATACTGCCGCCATATTGGAAAAATCAGTTCGACTGAAAAGACGTACGCAAACGTAAGTGTTGTTTTAAAATTACATTTTTTGTGAAGAAATTAATTAGGCTCACGGAATCTAGAGAATAG